CCTCCGTCACACCTCGCAACCTCACGATTCCCTGCGCCTGTCACGAAGTGTCACCTCCGTCACGCATCGCAACCTCACCATTCCCTGCGCCTGCCACGAAAATCCCACTTCCACACCTCAAAACACGCACAAACTCCTGCGCCTGCCACGAAAAGCAACAATGTCATCTCATGTGAGCTTCACCAAAATTTGCACCACACCACACGTTTGGAATGATTTCGACCCGTTCTGAGCACACTCCCAGGGTCCAAAATCTGCATTTCAGCTGAGACTTGTCACGAAAACAGAGCTTCGATGCCACACCCTGAAACGCAAATCCCAATGGCACGGCCACATCCAACACCCCAAAAACACGACTCTCCAAACGCTAATCCCAATGGAACTGCGTAGCAAACTGCGGATCTCACAAAACGCTGCGCCTGCGCAGTGAAACGCATCACGCTTCTTGCGCGACATGTCCTTTTCACGCAAATCACAATGGACTCGCGTCGCAAACTAACACGTGACACATCCATGCATAGTCACTTGCAAAAGCTTCCCCCAATGGCAGCGCCTTAGCGACCTACTGCGGACGGTTGCGGACGGTTGCGAACGGTCGCGGACGGTTGCGAACGGTTGCGAACGGTTGCGGACGGTTGTGAACATAGAAGCAACGGATCGCGAACAAGACTCTACCCCCAGACCCCCAGAGTTAAACGAGAACCCTTCGCTACGCATTCGGGAAAAAGAAAACGGCAGCCATCAGCCATCAGCCATGCAGGCACCTGCTACTCCGATCGCCTCCGCCTGGAACCCCGATCGCCACGCGGGATCACGCGAGCATAGATCGCTGCCAGAACGCCAGTAGTGCAAGGGTCGCAGTGCCAAAGCCTTGCGTGAAGGGATCAGCCAAAGAGACCGCTGTCAAGTGATGTCAAGTGCCCAACCACAACCATTGGGTACGAAGGGAGAACGCACAGGCCACGTGTAAAAGGAAAACCGACACAACATGCTCTTCGTCTACAAACGCTTCTCCCAATTCAATGGCATTCTTGTCATCCAGTTCCGCTAGATATCGAGAAAACAACACCGTCAACACATGTTTCCCGGCATCTTCCGCCCCCGCAAGAGGTGCGAGCGGGTCGAACCCCCCCGCTCGGTGCGGAACGAACGATGCGCTCTCTCCAGGAGCCCGGCTCTGCCGGCAAAGAATGCACCCGCCCAAAGACCGCTCGGTGCGAGTCGAACCACGGCGTCCACCTCTTCACAGTCTTCCACGGCTTCGCGGTACTTCTGCTGCGCGAAGTGCGCGATGGAACGCTTGTGCCAGGCCTGGAGGCTTTGAAAGGCTCGGTTGGCGGAAGTGGATGGAGCGGTTGGGTGGATGGATGAGGATGGGAGATATGGGGCATTGCATGGAGCACCGTTCCCCAGCCGCTGAGAAAACTCACACCCTTTGAAGTGCCCAAGGTCTCTGAAGAAAGAAGTCATGGTTGCCCGAAGTGCTGTGCGAAATAATTCATGCTAACAAACACAAAGACAAAGTATAGGTGTTTATGAGAAAATGGAGTGCCTCTGCGCATCTACCAGCGTCGCGGTACCCAAAACAAACCCCTTAATTACGTTTGGGATCTCTCAGACCCGAAGGTCCACAGAATTCAAACACTTCTGCTTGGCCGTCGGACATCATTCGCCGGCACAGAAAAGAACATCTAATTACAAGGTCTTCACGGAAAAATCTACATCCCTGAAGTGCTTTCCACCTTTAATTTTTCATGTCGTTTCTTCCCATGCGTTCGCATCCAGAGTGCTTTCGTGTCGCCGCCCGTTTCGGCTCTGAAATTTCACCGGGGCACCCGACCACACCGGGACACCCGCACGCCACCGCGGGTCAGACGCCCTGCCTCTGCGAAGCTCGGGGCACGCGCGATCACCTCGGAGCAGCACGCGTGCCAGGCGATCGGGTCGACACTCCCAATGGTTCATGACCCAGACACGAGCTGTCTGGGACTGCCTGCCAGGACTGCCGCCCCAGAAAGACCCCCCCTGGCACCACCCCTGGCCTGATCGTCAGTCCTATGGCAGTCCCATGGAGTGTTTGGGTTAGACCAAGCAAGTGTTGTTTCCAAAGGTTCTCCATTGGGAGTGTCGAAAGAACCAATATGGTTCATGTTTTTTTCAGTTGCTCAATTCTTGAAAAAGGTTCTCCAAGTTTGGTTCAATCCTTTCTTTGTAAACATGTTTCCCAAGTAGTTCTTGCCGAAAAAAGAAAGTCTTCGACAAAGAATGTTGTTTCTGCCTGGTCACGACCACATTCAGGCCGGGGACGATCTGGGTCCATCTCTTCCTTTCCCTAGAAGTCCAGTTCGACGAATTGTGGGTCACCGAAGTTCCAGGAAACTCCCCAGCCACCTGGACCCCCTTGAAACTCACAATCCCAGCCACCTATGCCTATGCAATCTGACTCTGCCCCTTAGGGTCCCATGGCCGCACAGAAACCTCCACCCGCCACGCTCCACGTCGCTTCCCCCACTCAAGCTCCCAAGTCGCTCGAGTAAACACGTCGACCGCTTGCTCGAGCTCGCCCTCATCCATGAGGCGAACGCCCAAGGACATCTCGGCGTTCACCTGTGCTGGGCACAACCTCTCGGCGCCTGTGCTCTTTGACTTTCTGCACGCGTGCCTTCCGAACAGTAGGGGCACCTTTTTCTGTGTTTTCGTTTCTTTCCCAAACGCTCATGGACCCTCATACGGAGGGGTTTGGGGCAAGCATAAACAAAACCTCAAACCAATCCAAAAGCAACTGCCCAAGAGTGTGCAGCTCCAGACATCAGAACCACAAGACATTAAGACTCAGCCCAAAATCAACCACTATACCAGGTGGATCTTCAAGCGTGGCCCAACCAACCTCCACCGGGCAACCCAACCTCCTCAGCCCAACCCTCGGTGGATCCCGCCGGGCCCGTGGATCCCGGCGCCTTGCTGTCGCCCGAATCTTCCCAACAACAGCGGAGCGCATCCTCGATGGCTCCCTGCAACTCGCCTGGACCGCGGAGCGCGGACCGCGGTGGTGTGGAGGAGGATGTGAGTGGACAGGGTGGCCTCTGCCACCCGGGGGGTAGTGGGGTGGCTTGGCACTGAGACTTGACGGCAACTTCTCCATGACCAGCACCATCGGTCCGATCGGGGGATCCGTGGAAAGACGCTTCTTTTCGATGGTTTTTGGTTTGTGGAGGAGACCCGCCCCCTTTTTGCCTTTCCAAACTCAAACGCGGGGTCCCTTATAAATAGCTCGATCTTGTTTAGAGCCAAAAAGGATGCCACAAAACGAAGACCAACACTGCGGAAGGGCGGGATTTCCCCATGATATAGGTCCTAGACTTACAGCACGCTGCTTTTCCAGGCCCTGCCTTCGATAGGCAAGCATACAGTCAGCAAAACAGCAAGGCAGCGACTCGGAGTGACACCATGTGACACCCAACTGTGGCAGGGTCATTCGGTCAATCATTTGGCAGGCCAAAAAGCTGCCGGGCTTGGGAAAATACGAAGCTTTGGGCCATTCCGACGGCTGGGCCGATGGCCCGATGCAGTTCCGCGGAGTGTTTCGGACCTGAAGAGTGGACCTGAGTGGTACCGCTCCAGACAAACACATCCAAAATGGTTGGAGATGACCATCCCCCCCCCGTTCCTCGTCCTGCTTTTTCAGACCGAACTTCGGAGTGACCGAAGCGTTCACTGGGAAGATCCAGTGACCGGTCACGAAGGGAAGATGGGAAGGCGTTCGTCTTTCCCAACAGAGGTGGGTCAGAACCCGAACTAGACTATCCTATAAGGTCCTATAAGGTCACAACCTATAAGGTCCTATAAGGTGTGACCTCTGTAGGGTCCTATGTATGGTCACTTAACCTCTGTTGGTCCCTTCGGGACCATGCCATCCACCGTGCGTCCACGGTGAGTCCCGAGACCGTGCGGCCTCCGCTGTCGGTCGACAGCAGCACCGCATGGAGGGCGTTCTCCGCTTCCAGCACCGGTGCCGGCGGCGAGGCCAATCTGAACGGGGAGAGGGGATCAGGACTTGGGGCGTTGGAAAAAAAGAAGACCCAACAGGTGGTGAACTCCGCTTTCCGCAGTGGGTCGTGCATGGCCTGACGGGAATTGACACTTCCAAAGCAAGCCTGTGCAGTGTCATCTACCAGATCTACCACAGTGGAAGATCTACCCTTCATCTCATAACAACAGAAAAATCTCAGCTCTTGACCCCAAACACTGGACCACAACTCAGGTTTCACTTCAGGCAGGCTACCAGGACACAACTGCTGCACCTATTTACACTCCAATCCGCTCAAACCAACGCGCCCCACTCGCGCGGATCGCGCGGGCCTGCGCAGGCGCGCGACGGCCTCGAGGCGCGCCCAGTGGGGCCGACGGCTGGAGATGATGCCTGTGAGCAGCGCCACCACTGCAGACTGCAGAGACCGCCACCAGGACCGACCAGTGCGAGCAAACACGAGGTGCGGTCCCGTTGGCTGGAAATCCGGGCAGGTGAGGGTTGCTTCATTGAAACCACTTGACAGAAATGCCACCAAAATGCAACCAAAAAACCACTTAACAATGAACCAACCCACCCTTTTTGAAAGGTTCTTGGGCCACTTGGATGGATTCCACCACCAGACTCCTTTTTCATGGTCCGCTGTTTGGGCGATGCACCGCACGCACCGCACGACAGCCCACACCAGCAAGCCCTGCACATCGGAACTCCCATCTGACTCCGCCAGTCATGCCATCCAAGAGAGGTTAAGTGACCTTAAATAGGACCCGGAACACCTGGGATAGTCTAGTTCCTGGGATAGTTGAACAGTCGGGTCCTGACCCACCTCTGTTGGATGTTTGCCCAAACCGCCCGCACACCGCTGGGCTCGGTCATTTCTCGGCAGCTCGCGGACGCGCGGACGGGCCTGGCACGGACAGATCCGGCGAGGAGGAATCAGAGTCGAAGCTCAAATGAGAAGGGAAACTTGAGGAACACTGCATGATAGGTCTTCCATGATTCAGGTTGAGTATCAACATATACCTTACAGTCACCATCACAAAATCAGATTCTCTGGCCCATCTTCTCGCACACGAAAAAGGAAACACGTGCTGCGACATCACTCCCGCCGCAGGATCCGGAGACTCTCCTGGCTTGTGGGGCCCGGTCCTCAGAGATGCTCCGGTGGAGGAATGGCGTGATATGGCGTGCCCAGACGCTCATGGACCCTCCTAAGTAGGGGTCCGGACCCTCAACTCCCTAGAGTTTTGAGGGACCAAGAGCTGTTTGGAGCGTCTGGGTGGATGGATAAAGGCACCACACCCTACACCACTCGAGGTCCAGCACCCCCCCCAAAACTGTGGGGGAACATCTTTCGTCAGGGGTGTTCTTATAGACCACCCGAGCCTGCGTCCACACAAATTGTAGGGGTTCTCAAGGGGGTTTTGTTGACTCTGCCACCACTGTAGCTTGGTGAGTCGAAAGTAGATGATCCATGGATGAATGGAACAGCCCTTCTGAAATCAGAGGAGGAAATCTTCAATAACACTGGCTATACGATGGCATTGTGAACCTTCAGGCTGAGCCCGTGATTCCGTGACTGCTTGGCAAGCATTGCAAAATGTTGAAAACATCGAGTAGTTGTGCCTGGCCTTGACGGGAAGTCGTCACCTGTAGGAACCTTTGAATGTTCATGGACCTGCTCCATGAGCTCCACAAAATCTTTAAAACATACGGTTATTGTTGGCTGTATATATAAGGGTATATACCAGGACCTTCCAAGTCCGGTGGTTTTTGGACACCTCAGAAAACCTCTCAGAGGCTATTTATAGACACCTCTTGGTGTCGGTCCAGGTACAGGGTATACCAGTTTCCTGCCAGCATCCGGTCTCGTGAAAAGAGGGTTCTTGGACCCCAACAGGTCTCAATGGGTGACCTGTTGGTGAACACTCCTTGACCTCTATGGTGTCTAAGAGTCTAAGAGGCCATGCATGTGTCTCACTGACACCTCTTGGCTCTTGGTGTCGGTGGTGTAGGGTATCTATGGACCCGACTGACCCAGTACCTTAGAAAATAGGACATGACCCCATTTAAAAAAAAAACAGGTAGGTAGTACGACTGTACCCATTCGACTCGGTACGTGTCACCCGGGTCAACTGGTCGGAACACAGGATCGGATCGCCCGACGCACGGCTCTGAGAGGTCCAGCCAGAAGGACGAGGCCAATGAGCTACCTACTTGAGCCGACCTGTTCGTACCTCAGAAAATGGGTACGACGTCGTAGCTGCTTTTTACGCCATGTCCCATGAGTGATAGAGTACTTGAAGTCGGGTCCAGGTACCCCGAAGTGAGTCAAGTGGTGGATGGATTGGACTGCCAGGATGGAGCACCAATGAGTGAAAACCGACGTTCTGGGGCAGGCTCTGATTCTTCCTCACTTTGCCGCAACCGGCGACCGAGTGACGGGCCAGTGCCACTTCACGTCCAGTGCCACGGTCCCTGCCGAGCGGAATGCGCCCAGGATCGAGGGTCGGTGTATTCGGGCCCATTTCGACACCTTCTTCGGCGAGAAACCGAAGGTCTCTGTGAATGGAAACTCTACCAGCACCCGACTCTACAGGTCACCACCTGACACTTTTAAGTATCCAGCTACCAGGTCTGAGACCTGTAGAGTCGGGTGCTGGTATATAAAGACTCGATACGCGAAACACCCAGCCGGACCCTTTTTTGGGTCAGACTTCGACGACTCCGTCGGGTCGCCGCTGCGTGAAGGACCGCGCCTTTCCCCTGAGACGCGGTGAGACCACGACCGGAACCAGCGGGTTCCAGCAGAGGTGGAAGAACCCTAGGACCCGACTTCACAGGTGTTTCGTGACCACCAGAAGCCCAGCACCTGTGGTCGGGTCTTCCAACAGCCTGGCCAGGAGGGTGGCATAGGCTATCCTATGGGTTTTCCAGGTTTTCCGGGTCCTATGTACGGTCACTGGATACCTCTCTTGAAGGTGGAACCAGCGGCCGGCGCGGGTGAAGCGAGGTACTTTTTTGTGACGGGTCCAGGATCGCACAGGTCAACCTCTCCTGATTTCAGGAGGCCTGAGGCGAAGCACTGGGTTCTTCGAAGCCTGTTCCATCGTCGTGTGACTTTGACACTCTGCAAACTAAACGGACACGCCGCGATTCCTTGAGAATCCCGAAGTTCACTTCCGGCAATCGACAGTTGAGCAGTTCCGCAACAAAAAGACTAAGTTTCCCAGAGTCCCAGAGCCATATTTTGGGCATAATCCAATACCAGTAACAGTGGTCGGTTGCAGGCCTTTCCATCTCTAAAAACAATATGTTTACCTGATGAGACAGACCCAGAGCCATATTCAAAACACGAAAGATTACATGCAGACTGAGTTTTCCCTGAGTCAACCACAGCCCTCTGTCTGACATGCCTCATCTGAAAAAAAAAGATACATCCGAGGAAACGCCCCTCAGATTGTTGCAGTGACCCTCAAGCGACCATCCAACTCAGAGCCCAAGTGATTCCAGGTACTTCTCCAACTGCCGATCAAATTTGTGCGTCAGCTTGTGGATTTTACCTTGA